TGTAGTTGAATATTCCTCCTGTGTTTCCAATTACGTGATTAAAATATCGTTTGAACTTTCAAAATCCTAATCTTTATTCTTGATTCTGAACTGTCAGAAAGTATATTTTTTGTATAAATAAATAAACAATCCATTACCCCCATTAAAAATTCAATGAAGAAGAATATTGAAGAAAGTGTTAGAATAAAAAATATTTTTGGATGAATAAAATTTGAATTGAGTTACAATTTCCCTGAGAGAATTGACAGACAGAATTAAAGATGAAGGTGTTATTTCAGGTGAACCATGGCGGATCTAGACAGCTACGAAGATGTAGTACTCTCGACAGCAGGTGCGGAGACGGTCTCGATGGCCCCGTCTGCTGATCTCCCTGAAATAAAATTATTCGGTCGTTGGAATTGCGACGATGTCCAGGTAAACGACATGTCACTCCAGGACTACATAGCAGTCAAGGAGAAGAATGCTAAGTACCTGCCACATTCAGCAGGTCGTTATGCTGCCAAACGTTTCCGCAAGGCGCAGTGTCCAATTGTCGAACGTTTAACGAATTCATTGATGATGCATGGGCGCAACAATGGCAAGAAGCTGATGGCTGTGAGAATAGTCAAACATGGCTTTGAGATCATTCACTTGCTCACTGGTGAAAATCCTCTACAGGTAATGATAAACCAAATAAAATTCTCACTTCTCTTTCCTGTCAATTATGAAATACTATTACCCATCATTTTACCACCGAATCTATTGACTCCACGAGGAATCATCAAGATACCTTTTTCATTGGAAATTTAATACCCTACAAAAAAGTCTCTTACCATTTCTTCCTCAAGTCGACAGTTTCCGGGATAAATCGATTAAGAGAAATGAAGAAAAGTGGTGAATTCGATTTATCTCATTTTACAACCCAGCTACTGATTTATTTTAATTGCACTTGAATCATTTGCCGGGGAATTAATTTTATTTATTGAATTCAAGGTCCTCGTGACAGCCATCATCAACTCTGGCCCACGTGAAGACTCAACACGTATTGGTCGTGCTGGTACAGTGCGTCGTCAAGCTGTTGATGTATCACCACTTCGTCGTGTTAATCAAGCTATTTGGCTTCTCTGCACTGGTGCACGTGAGGCTGCTTTCAGAAACATCAAGACAATCGCCGAGTGTCTTGCTGACGAGCTCATCAACGCAGCCAAGGGATCATCAAATTCCTACGCTATCAAGAAGAAGGACGAGCTCGAGCGTGTTGCCAAGTCTAACCGATAAACTGTTCACGTTCGAAATAAACATTTTACTTTAAACGAGATTATTCATTTATTCGTCTTATTCTCTTCCACCAATCCCTTATTAATAATCAATTATCAATAAGCATAGGAAGGATGAGTCCCTTACACATTATTACACATTTTCAATTCTGTACTGAAACGTTGGATATAAAAAAATTTTTTTAGGAGATAACTGGAATAAAAATCGAAAGGAAAATTAAGTGATGAGTGTTCCATGTAATTAATTGG